ACTCAGACATCTTCAGTGATTCTGTTGCTTTAAGCACAGAACCTGAAACAAAGCCCCAGGTCCTTGCTCTTCTACTTGTGACTCTTCTGCGTGTGCATCTTAGTCCATGTCCATTTGCCCTCTCAAGAAAGCCTCCAGTGCTAGTGCCATCCACTCCGGTTGCGCACTTGCCTGACTTATAATCCTTAACCTTGCTGATGTTCGCTAGTTGTCTCTTCACTATCTAGTCTCAAGCTGGAGGGTAGGGTTTTTCTGGGTCTCATTTTTCGTCAGCAGCACTCAGTACAGATGGTCTCCAACTTATACTTAGGCATACGGTTTTTCTACTTTATGATAGTGTGAAGGTCATACTCATTTAGGATACTCCTCAATTCATGATGGGGTTATGTCCAGATAAACCTATAGTAAATTGGAACTATCACTTTTGATTTATGATACTTTCAGTTTCTGGTGGGTTTATCAGGACAGGATGCAACCTGATCATAAATGGAGGAGCATCTGTATGGGTAACACAGGAGACTCTCTAGAAATGCTTATTACACAGCAAAGTAGCACAATAATTTGTACGTATGTGTTTAATGTGTATGTGTGTCTCCTCCAGGCCGTATCTGAGGAACAGCAGCCTGTGCTCAAGGGCAAAAAGGGAAAGGAAGAGAAGTCAAAAGGGAAGGCTAAGGTGAGAGAGTAACTAGCAGGAGGAGGTATTGGGGCCCAGGAATTAAAGCATTTCATCCCACCTGTCTTTTCCCATTAGCCTCAAAATAAATTCGCTGCTCTGGACAATGAAGAGGAGGATGAAGAAGAAGAAATAATAAAGGAAAAGGAGCCTCCCAAACAAGGGAAGGAGAAGGCCAGGAAGGCAGAGCAGGTGTGTGTATTTGGTGTTGGGGGAAGGTAGAATGAGGGACTAGGGCTCCAGGGTTCTTATGGGAGAGTCACGATCTGGGGATATAGTTACTATCCCAGCAAACCTTTTTTCTTTTCTTTTTCTAGGGGGAATGGTGGGGTTGTTGTTTTGTTTTTGTTTTTATTTACACAGGATCTTACTCTGTCCCCCAGTCTGGAGTGCAGGGGTGTGAACACGGCTCACTGCAACCTCAACCTCCTGGGCTTAACAGATTCTCCTGCCTCAGCCTCCTGAGTAGCTGGAACTAGAAGTGTGCACCACTACCCCTGGCTAATTTTTTAATTTTTAGTATAGAGACGAGGTCTCACTATGTTGCCCAGGCTGGTCTTAAACTTCTGGGCTCAAGCAGTCCTTCTCCCTCAGCTTCCCAAAATGCTTACAGGTGTGAGCCAGTGTGCCCAGTTAGCAAACTTTTTCTTTTTTTTTTTTTTTTTTTTTTTTTTTTTTAGACGGAGTCTCGCTCTGTCGCCCAGGCTGGAGTGCAGTGGCCGGATCTCAGCTCACTGCAAGCTCCGCCTCCCAGGTTCCCGCCATTCTCCTGCCTCAGCCTCCCGAGTAGCTGGGACTACAGGCGCCGCCACCTCGCCCGGCTAATTTTTTGTGTTTTTAGTAGAGACGGGGTTTTGCCGTGTTAGCCAGGATGGTCTCGATCTCCTGACCTTGTGATCCGCCCGTCTCGGCCTCCCAAAGTGCTGGGATTACAGGCTTGAGCCACTGCGCCCGGCCAGCACACTTTTTCTATAAAGGGCCTTGTAGTAAATGTTTCTGGCTTTGCAGGCCACATATAATCTCTATTACATATTCTTTTTTTTTTTTTTACCAACTCTTTGAAAATACAAAAACTATTTTTATAAAGTTCAGGAGCTATGTAAAAACAAGTGTGAGGTCAGCCTTGGCCCATGGGCTGTGGTTTGCAACACCTGATCCAGTGAGGAAAGGGCCTGGAATTTATCTCAGATGATCTGGGTCCTGGCTCTGCGTTCACTGGCTATGACCTTAAATACATCTTCCCATCCCTTTGGGTCTCACTTGTCTCCTTTGTGTGATAGAAGGAGGAATCTGGAGATCTCTAGGGTCCCCATGCCTCCGGCACTTCCTAGTTCTGTGATTCTGCTTGGTTCCTCTGACTGTACACTAGAGATTCCTGATGTTTTCTTTTCTTTTGTTTTCTTTTTTTTTTTTTTTTTTTTTTTTTGAGATGGAGTCTCACTCCGTTGCCCAGGCTGGAGTGCAGTGGCATAATCTCGGCTTACTGCAACCTCTGCCTCCTGGGTTCAAGCAATTCTGCCTCAGCCGCCTAAGTAGCTGGGACTACAGGCACATGCCATCATGACCGTCTAATTTTTTGTGTTTTTAGTACAGACAGGATTTCACCATGTTAGCCAGGATGGTCTCAATCTCCTGACCTTGTGATCTGCTCGTCTTGGCCTCCCAGAGTGTTGGGATTACAGACATAAGCCACCGCACCCAGCTGGCTACCTGATCTTTTCTTTGCATGTTAACAGGGAAACCACAGAAACTCATTTTATGCAAATGAAACTCTTGAAATCCACTTAACTCCACCTTCAGTTACTTTATATTGGGAGTTACGTTTATAGGGACATACGCGTTGTCACATTTCATACATATATATTCGTACCATTTGTTTTGTACCATTCCTGGTAGCAGAAATTGGTAAAGGACTACAGGGAGACTAGGGGCTGGATATGAGAATGAGAGAGGATCCCAAGATATTTTAGGACTCTGAGTAGTGAAGGAAAGAGCTGACTGCAGAACTGGGGCAGGGACAGGATGCAGATGACATGAAATCTGAGTTCTAGAAGGAGTCCCTGGGTTTTTTTGTTTGTTCGTTTGTTTGTTTTTGATATGGAGTCTCGCTCTGTCACCCAGGCTGGAGTGCAGTGGCACAATCTCGACTCACTGCAAGCTCCACCTCCCAGGTTCACACCATTCTCCTGCCTCAGCCTCCCAAGTAGCTAGGACTACAAGTGCCCACCACCATGTCCAGCTAATTTTTTGCAATTTTTAGTACAGATGGGGTTTCACTGTGTTAGCCAGGATGGTCTTAGATCTCCTGACCTCAGGATCTGCCCGCCTTGGCCTCCCGAAGTGCTGGGATTATGGGCGTGAGCCACCGCACCCAGCCGGGGTCCCTACTTTTGACCATCCCTGGGTTCTCACAGGGTTCAGAGGAAGAAGAAGGGGAAGAAGAGGAGGAGGAAGGAGGAGAGTCTAAGGCAGATGATCCCTATGCTCACCTTAGCAAAAAGGAGAAGAAAAAGCTGAAAAAACAGGTAAGACCTTGGTTCTTAGCGGTCAAAAGTAGGGGATTTTTTAATACTTCAACTAGGGGACATGCGATTGGGAATAGGAAGGACAGCTTTGGGGGCTACTCCAGGTAAAACAATCGGAGTAGGAAAATAATTGTGTTCTGTGAGCCTTATCTCAATGTCTGATGACATGGGGTGTTTCACTTTGGGGTTTTTTGTTTGTTTTTTGAGACAGGGTCTCACACTGTTCCTCAGGCTGGAGTGCAGTAACGTGATCTCTGCTCACTGCAGCCTCAACCTCCCAGGCCCAAGTGATCCCCCCACCTCAGCCTCCCGAATAGATGAGACTATGGGTGGCACCACCATGCCCGGCTAAATTTTGTATTTTTTGTAGAGACGGGATTTTGCCATGTTGCCCAGGCTGGTCTCAGACTCCTGAGCTCGAGAGATCCACCTTCCTCAGCCTCCGAGAGTGCTGGGATTACAGGCGTGAGCCAGCATGCCCAGCCAGCATGGGCTGTTTCATGGTGATGGAAAACTGATAGACTGTGGCTTCAAATGTAGTTTTTCCTTCCTTCTCAGATGGAGTATGAGCGCCAAGTGGCTTCATTAAAAGCAGCCAATGCAGCTGAAAATGACTTCTCCGTGTCCCAGGCAGAGATGTCCTCCCGCCAAGCCATGTTAGAAAATGCATCTGACATCAAGGTAAGGTCTCAGGGGGCCCCTTCCAGTCCACTTGCCTAGGGAAGAGCCAGTTCTCTCATCTTCCCTGAGTGGCCATGGTGTGTGAATGGCTTAGTTTAGTGGGAAGAAAGATTGGAGGCATTTTCCACACCTTGGGTTCTGCCAACTTGAGCAAGAAGATAGAAAAACCAGTAGAAGTAGGGTCCACCCTCGGCAGAAAATAGTGTGGGACAGACTACACTAGCTGAGGACGCATGGGACTCCCATTACAGGCAGTGGACAGGGCAGGGACTGGCTGTGGGGAGAGGAAGGGGATTATGCTGGAGGTATCGGTTTGTCAGAGGCTTCCCTGCAGGGAGAAAGTGACCACTCCTGTCCCAAAGGGAGAATTTTCATGTGATCATCCCTTCCCTCTGCCACCTCTTTCCTGATGGCTGCAGCTGGAGAAGTTCAGCATCTCCGCTCATGGCAAGGAGCTGTTCGTCAATGCAGACCTGTACATTGTAGCCGGCCGCCGCTACGGGCTGGTGGGGCCCAATGGGTGAGAAGAGGAGGGAGCTGGAGGCCAAAAAGGGGAGGAGCCTGGAGGGATAAGAAGAGATTTCTCAGTGGTGGCCAGGTCCTAATAGCTTTTATTCCCCAGCAAGGGCAAGACCACGCTCCTCAAGCACATTGCCAACCGAGCCCTGAGCATCCCTCCCAACATTGATGTGTTGCTGTGTGAGCAGGGTGAGGCCAAGGGGCTTGGTGGGGTGGGCAGTTGGGTAGAAAAGCCAGCCAAGAATAGAAGAAATTGTGGCCATGGTGTTGGAAGGGATGTGGAGCGAGACTGGGGACTGGGAAAGGGATGCTAACGAAAGGAGGGGAGAGTTAATGAGGAACTTGTTTCATTTGGAATGAGTACAAAAAGCTGGGCAGGGTCAGGCAAAACAGAAATGCAGTTGAAGGGAAAGAAGGATGAGACTCTTGGCTCTTGAGGCTGCCTGACTGTTCTCCCTCTGCCTCCCAGAGGTGGTAGCAGATGAGACACCAGCAGTCCAGGCTGTTCTTCGAGCTGACACCAAGCGATTAAAGCTGCTGGAAGAGGAGCGGCTGCTTCAGGGACAGCTGGAACAAGGAGATGACACAGCTGCTGAGAGGCTAGAGAAGGTAGAGGAGATGGCGCAGGGGACACGGGCTAAGACTCGGGGGTTCCTGGGACCCTCAGACATGTGTCCTCTTCTCCCTCCTCCCAGGTGTATGAGGAATTGCGGGCCACTGGGGCAGCAGCTGCAGAGGCCAAAGCACGGCGAATCCTGGCTGGCCTCGGCTTTGACCCTGAAATGCAGAATCGACCCACACAGAAGTTCTCAGGGGGCTGGCGCATGCGTGTCTCCCTGGCCAGGTGGGCATTCACCTCACTGCCCTCCCTTCCAACCTCAGACCACCAGGGCCCTTTCCCTCTATCCCTTCTCATTCTTCCAAGGCAATAGGGAGGCTCAAGGCTTACCTCTCCCTTCTTACTATCTTACCCTAAGTGAGAGCTTAGGGTCCTTCTGTTTCTCTCTACCTGGTGGTGAGTTCTCATCAACATACCCTGCAGCTGGGCGCAGTGGGTCACGCCTTCATGCCTGGAAGGCAGAGGCAGGAGGATTATCTTGAACCCAGGAGTTTGAGACCAGCCTGGGCAATATAGCAAGACCCTATCTTCACAGAAAGGGAAAAAAAGCATATCCTAGCCTGGGCAACATAGGGAGACACTGTCTCTACAAAAAATTTAAAAATTAGCTGGACTTGGTGGTGCACGCTTGTGGTCACAGCTACTCTGGAGGCTGAAGTAGAAGTATCACTTGGACCTGGGAGATTGAGGCTACAGTGAGCCCTGACTGTGCCATTGCATGACAACCTGGGCAACAGGGCAAGGCCCTGTCTCAGAAAAACTTAAACCATAGCCTGCCCAAGAACTTCTCTGAGGAGAGCTTGGGAAGGAGTGTTCATGGTCTCAGGCTCTATCTCCCTGAATTTTCTCTGGGGTTGTCTGAGCAAGGATCTTTCTCTCCCTGACCCTGCCCTCTGCTCCCCACCCTCTAGGGCACTGTTCATGGAGCCCACACTGCTGATGCTGGATGAGCCCACCAACCACCTGGACCTCAACGCTGTCATCTGGCTCAATAAGTGCGTTACGGCCTTTGCATCATTGGTTCCCATTCTGCACTTTCTTCCCCTTCCTGCCCTGTTTTCCTTTAGCCATTCTCCACTGTGCCTGTGACAGCTCTATCCAGACCCCCCCTTTCCCTCCCAGCCCCCATTGTCTGGCTGCTTCCCCTGACTTCTCTCTCACTTGACCGCTGTGACACTTACACCCTGTTCTCTGAAACCCAGCTACCTCCAGGGCTGGCGGAAGACCTTGCTGATTGTCTCCCATGACCAGGGTTTCTTGGATGATGTCTGCACTGATATCATCCACCTCGATGCCCAGCGGCTCCACTACTATAGGGGCAATTACAGTAAGTAGGATTGTGTGTGGATGCAGGGAAGAGATAGAACCTTGAAAAGAGGTCTGAATGGGAGGGCCTATTTAGATAAACTGAATCCTGTCAGAATTCCAGACAGTGATGCCTACCCCATCACCACCAATCCCTGGTTGTCCCTTTGCTGGGGAGAGGAGCAACCACTGATGCCCAGTCCCCTCTTCTGCCCCAGTGACCTTCAAAAAGATGTACCAGCAGAAGCAGAAAGAACTGCTGAAGCAGTATGAGAAGCAAGAGAAAAAGCTGAAGGAGCTGAAGGCAGGCGGGAAGTCCACCAAGCAGGCGGTGAGCACCTGAGGGACTTCTGGGCTGGGGACCACTGTTCTCTCCTGACAGTGGAGGAAGAGGGAGACTCTGGAACGCTGGCCTACATTTCGAGGACTGCTGTGCAGGACACAGATTTCTCTTTTTTCGTCTTCCTCTCCAGGAAAAACAAACGAAGGAAGCCCTGACTCGGAAGCAGCAGAAATGCCGACGGAAAAACCAGGATGAGGAATCCCAGGAGGCCCCTGAGCTCCTGAAGCGCCCTAAGGAGTACACTGTGCGCTTCACTTTTCCAGACCCCCCACCACTCAGCCCTCCTGTGCTGGGTCTGCATGGTGAGTGCCGCGGGCCTCTCCTGCTCCACAGGAAGCACCAGAAGCATGTATGTGCGCCCCAAACTCTCCACCAAGGTTGAGATTGCTCCTGTTCTCCAAGGCCAGCACATCAGAGGAACTTTACAGGGACTGAAAATAATATAAATTGCTGCTTTTCCTGGCTTTCAGGTGTGACATTCGGCTACGAGGGCCAGAAACCACTCTTTAAAAACCTGGATTTTGGCATCGACATGGATTCAAGGAGTGAGTTGGCGGGGTTGGCTCAGGGATGTGTGGCAGGAGCCACAGGGAGAGTCTCTGGGGACCTCTTTGACCACCTGTCTTCCATCTTGCAGTTTGCATTGTGGGCCCTAATGGTGTGGGGAAGAGTACACTGCTCCTGCTGTTGACTGGCAAGCTGACGCCGGTGAGTCCTGGAGCCAAGAAGGGAGAGCATGAGAAATGTGAAGACACAGCTGCTTGCCAGAAGCTGGAATCAGGGAGCTTCTCGAGAATGTAGAGTTAAATACAGAACTCATCATAGATGATTCATTTCCCTAAGAGGAGCAGTAGAGGAGGAGAAGAGCTTAGATCAGTTCAGGGAGGAGAGCTAAGAGAATTGGGATCGAACTAGGGGGCACACCCACGTGTTTTTGTTATACAAGAAATAGATGTCTTTTATAGAACAATTAAAAATTGCATAAACGGGCTGGGCACAGTGGCTCACGCCTGTAATCCCAGCAGGGATCACTTGAGGTCAAGAGTTCCAGACCAGCCTGGCCAACGTGGTGAACCCCGTCTCTACTAAAAATACAAAAATTAGGCGGGTGATGGCACGCACCTACATCCCAGCAGGAGGCTGAGGCAGAATTGCTGGAACCTGGGAGGCGGAGGTTGCAGTGAGCTGAGATTGCACCATTGCACTGTAGTCTGGACAACAGAGCGAGACTCCATCTCCAAAAAAAAAATGGCCTGGTGTGGTGGCTCACACCTCTAATCCCAACTCTTTGGGGGAGGCTGAGGGTGGCGGATCACTTGAGCTCAGGAGTTAAAAACCAGTCCAAGCCCGATGCGGTGGCACACACCTATAATCCCAACACTTTGGGAATCCGAGGCGGGTGGATCACCTGAGGTGGGGAGTTCGAGACCAACATGGAGAAACCCCATCTCTACTGAAAATACAGAATTAGCCAGGTGTGGTTGCGCATGCCTGTAATCCCAGTTATTTGGGAGGCTGAGGCAGGAGAATCACTTGAACCCAGGAGGCAGAGGTTGCAATGCACTGAGATCAGCCAGGATGGTCTCGATACCCTGACCTCATGATCTGCCTGCCTCGGCCTGCCAAAGTGCTGGGATTACAGGCGTGAGCCACCGCGCCTGGCCAAGTCTACCGTTTTATTTGAACTTTTGTAATATATTGCCATCTAGTGTGTTAGAAAGTTTGTAGCCATTTCTGCTCCCTCCAGCGAAGTGTTGAGAGGCCATATTCTCACATCCAGAGATTAGATCTTTAGAAAGGTATTAGATCCTCCCCAAAGCACTAAACTTGTTACCTGAGGCCCTTACGACGTACCATTCGTGAGTCTCGCTGTGTGGAGAGCAGGTGTTCTTTGGCTGTGGTTAGTCCCTCCTGCTTGTCCCTGTCGTCCTCCCTCTATTTTGCTTAACTCCCCTTTTGCCCCTTACTCTTTTACTTTGCTCACCATGTCTTTGTCATATTAGGGGAACATCCCTGTTCCTTTTCTTTTTTTCTTTTTTGAGATGGAGTTTTGTCCTGTCCTCGAGACTAGAGTGCAGTGGTGCAATCTCAGCAACTTCAACCTCCTGGGTTAAAACGATTCTTGTGCCTCAACCTCCTGAGTAGCTGGGATTACAGGCATGTCCCACTGTGCCCAGCTAATTATTGTATTTTCAGTAGAGACAGAGTTGGCCAGCCTGGTCTCGAACTCCTGACCTCAAGTGCCTCCTGACCTGCCCTCCCTGGCCTCCCAAAGTGCTGGGATTACAGGCATGAGCCACTGTACCCAGCCCTTATTCCTTTTCTTATGCATACTTGTCCCTGGCCCATTTCTGATGTTTGTCTTCCCTTCAGAAAAGTTGGTGTATGGTTGAGGTCAGGACATTGAGACCATCCTGGCTAACACGGTGAAACCCCATCTCTACTAAAAAAACAAAAAATTAGCCAGGCATGGTGGCAGGCGCCTGTAGTCCCAGCTACTCAGGAGGCTGAGGCAAGAGAATGGTGTGAACCCAGGAGGCGGAGGTTGCAGTGAGCCGAGATTGCGCCACTGCACTCCAGCCTGAGTGACAGAGCTAGATTCCGTCTCAAAAAAAAAAAGTTGGTATGTGGAGCTGCAGTGCCTTTTCCCCTTACCCTCCTCTTAACTACTTTCTCTTCCCTCGCAGACCCATGGGGAAATGAGAAAGAACCACCGGCTGGTAAGTTGGTATTGGGATTTATGGTAATCTGATGGAGGAAGTGTGACTTTAACTGACCACCTCCTTCTCTTCTCGGGCAGAAAATTGGCTTCTTCAACCAGCAGTATGCAGAGCAGCTGCGTATGGAGGAGACGCCCACTGAGTACCTGCAGCGGGGCTTCAACCTGCCCTACCAGGATGCCCGCAAGTGCCTGGGCCGGTTCGGCCTGGAGAGTCACGCCCACACCATCCAGATCTGCAAACTCTCTGGTACCACTGCAGGGGCTGGGGAGGGCACACTTCACCGTATCATTCATGTCTACAAACTACCTAGAGGAACTGGGAATGAGGGAGCCTCAGTTCACAAACTGGCTTATCTTGAGGGTTTGCCTTCAGACTGTGAGGTGCTGGAAGGTGTGACAGCCCTCCCCTTCCTTTGCTACAGGTGGTCAGAAAGCACGAGTTGTGTTTGCCGAGCTGGCCTGTCGGGAGCCTGATGTCCTCATCTTGGTGAGTGAGCTGGGCTGTAGGAGAAGGGATAAGGGTAACAGTATGGAAGATGGGAGTTGCAGTGCTCAGTCATGGAATTCCTTCTCTGTAGGATGAGCCAACCAATAACCTGGACATAGAGTCTATTGATGCTCTAGGGGAGGCCATCAATGAATACAAGGGTGGTAAGTCAGCTGAGAGTATGCCCTCCTCCCTGCTCCATGGGGACCAAGCTGTAGTGTCCTTC